GTTTTATATTATTTTTGTTAATTTTATAATGTTAAACTTTAATAATAACAAATAATTGTTGAGAACTGATTACTGAGAACTGCTTATCAAAGTTTGCATTGTTGTGAGGCCCCGCCCCCTCAATGGTGCCCCACTTTAGCAGTGTTAAAATCTGGTCACCTTACCTTAGGGGATGGGAGAGGACAAATTTCAGCCTTCAGGCTGGATTGCCTAAGCTCAAGGGTATTTTTAATCACCTTCTAACTCTGCTGGTATCCCATCTCTGTTAAACTGCTGAATTTTACTCAGATGTCCCCAAACTAGTTTTCTGTCTATCCTGGCAGACATTCCAACCCCCTCAACACAGTAAGTATGCTATAGCAGTGAGGGCTGAGGCCCTGGGCCTTTTCTGCAGGAATCTTCTGGAATGTCCACCTGTATTATATTTTTACCCACAGTCCTCCCTCACTTATATTCTATATCCTGACTTGTTCATCTACTTGGCTTCAAATCTGTTTTTTTAATTTTCTTTTTTATAGCCTTATCCATTCACCCCCAAACAAGCCACTTTGGCTAAAATTTTTATTTCCCCCTTAAACTGTGATCCTGATTCCTACTCTGGCTGTACTACTTTCAGCCATCTAAGTACACATCCTACTTTGTCCAGCCTGCCCTGGGGACCCTCTGTGTCAGTGTGTCCCTACCCTCTGAGAGTGGCTCTCTCACGAGGTGGACTCCAGCCCACAGGTAGGCTCCGTTTAAGGGTACCAAATACCAGCAGAAAGAAGGATTATATAATGTGTTCTTTTGTTTTAGTTTTTGTTTTCTTGTGTTTGTTTAGAAATCCATCTGTTTGGGAACAATGTGTCTTTGAGTGTGATGGCACACACACCACTGTGACTCTGATCCATGCTACTGCGATCCTCCTTTAATATCTGTCTTTTAAAAATGTAAACATGTAGGTTATACAATGTTTATTTTTTTTCAAACCAGGTTTCGCTTGTTTTACGTACTAAATTTGCACAACAATTCTAATGAATGAGGAAGGATCAATGGGAGTTCTCCTTATAATACAATAGTATTAATGAAATTAAGAAAAGTCCAGTGAATTGATCCACATTACACAGCAAGTGAATTATAGAGCTTAACTCACCTGGTTTGCTTGCACTTAATCTACTACCCAGGTTCCCTCGGGGCTGAGCTCCTCTAGAGGATGGGGATCAAATCCATGTAGCCACTCTGTGTGGAAATTAATAGTAATTTTAATAGGATACTAACATTGATGATGATGATGATAGCAAAACATCTTTTTTTCATCTCCAACCACAGCAATCAATTTCATTTTCCTGCTTTTCCTATCGGTATGCCTTTACATAAAAAGCCTCCCACCTGCCCTATCTTCCTTTTCATCCTTTAAAAGCTGGCATATATGTTGCCTCCTCTGTGAGGTCTTTACCTATCATTGCCCCTCCCACTGCCAAAGAGTTAGCTGTTAGCTGTCTTATGTTAATAATGTCACACTTAGGATCTAAGTCTTGATTTCATTATGTGTTTATTTATGTTTCTCCCATTGGATTATGGACAAGGCAAGGAAGAGTGTCTTACTGTTTTTTGCATTCCAATATCCACCAAGGTGTCTAACACATTAGAAATACTCAAAAGGCATTTTTTGAACCAAAAGTGATGAAGATAATGGTGACAATGATGATGAGGTAGAGGGATAATTTCACTCCCTTCAAGAAAAATGAAGAATTTTCCCCTGCTTGTAGACTTAGTCTTTAGTTTAGAATAGTATATTAGTTAAAGTAGTCAATGTAGGATGCTACAAAATACAACTTCCAAGGTATTCTACCCCAATACAAAGCTATTATTTACTCATGAGCATATGGTGTGGGTTAGATAGACACCTTCACTGGGTGTCTTGACTTCAAATGACAGCTCTGAAATCTGGCTTTCTTCCAATGTGTGCTCTTCCATTTTGGATTGCTTTGCCTCCAGCTATTCAGCTGGAAGAAAATGGAGAGAAGACACACCGGGTTTTAATAAACGTTTCCTAGACATGACAGTCATCATTTCTGCTCACATTCCACTGATCAGAGCTTAGGATTGCATTGCCCATCTAACTGCAGAGTCAACTAGGAGATGTAACCTTGTGTGCCCAAAAAAAGACTCAAAAATGGTGAACACTAAGAGTTTCTTGTTGCATCTGACCTTCTAAACATCAAATATCCACTTCATTCTTCCTCTCACTCACAGAGCACACCACTCACCCGACACTAAGACGGATGACACAAGGTCCCATCTGGTTACCACCTCCAGATCAATGTCCAGGGTATGTGTGTGATGTGCCGTCTTGGCTATCAGTCTGACATGGAATCTCTTAACTCAGTAACCTACATATTAAAAAGACAAATTATCTACATCCCACTTCTCCACCATCTTAAATCACATTTAATGGTGGGAAAATTATAAGAAAACTGCAACAAACAATAAACAACATAAATCTCATGATCCACAATGATACTTAAAACCCCTCTGGGCCAACACTGGGAACCTTGGAATTCTGGGTATGGCAGAGGTGTGTGTATTTGACTCGGGTGAAAAAACTCCCTTATTTGTTCTTTTCCCTGACTATAT